AAGTTGTTCCATGAATTTTTTTTTTTTTTAAAGATAGTCTCCCTCAGTCGCCCAGGCTGGAGTACAGTGGCTTGATCTTGGCTCAGTGCAGCCTCCGCCTCTCAGGTTCAGGTGATTCTCCTGCCTCAGCCTCCCAAGTAGCTGGGATTACCGGCATGTGCTACCACACCCTGCTAATTTTTGTATTTTTTTTTAGTAGAGTCGGAATTTCACCATGTTGGCCAGGCTGGTCTTGAGCTCCTCACTTCACGTGATTCATCTGCCTTGGCCTCCCAGTGTGCTGGGATTACAGGTGTGAGCCACCGCGCCCACCCGAAAATTGACCATTTGAACCGTGTTTAAGTCTACTGTTTAGTGGCATTAATGGAACTTCTGTTGTTGTACAGCCATCTCCAGCACGTTCTCTTCTTCCCAGACTGAAACTCTGACCCCGTGAAACACTCACTCCCCAGCCCTGGTCACTCCCCATCCTACCTTCCATCTCTGTGAATCAGATGACTCGGGGCGCCGCCTAGGAATGGGTCCACACGGGGTTTGTCCCTGGGCATCTGCTCCCTGACGTCACTGAGCGTGATGTTCTTGAGGTGCATGGAGCCGTAACCTGGTCAGAATTTCCTTCCTTTGTGGCTGAGTGATACTGTCTATAAAGCCGAGCATCTGGTCAACGGTGTGCCAAGTACAGGTCCTGGGTGGGGACGTTGATGGCGCACGTGAGGCCTGGCAGGGAGGTTACTGAGCTGCAGAGCATGGATAGGAGCGGCTGGGGCTGCGGGAGCCTCCTGGGTCTGGGTCTCCAGGGTGTGGCCAGGGTGTGGCATGGAACTGGCATTTTTTCTCTGGTAGGGGCAGTTCTGAGCCTGAGGTTTTCTGAGAAACAAACTACCTGGATTGTTACATGGAATCTGACTTTTTTTTTTTTTTTTTTTTAAACAGTCTTGTTCCGTCACCAGGCACCAGGCTAGAGTGCAGTGGCACGATCTCAGCTCACTATAACCTCCACCTCCCGGGTTCAAGCAATTCTCCCGTCTCAGCCTCCGGAGTAGCTGGGACTACAGGCGCATGCCACCATGCCCAGCTAATTTTTGTATTTTTAGTAGAGATGGGGTTTCACCATGTTGACCAGGATGGCCTCGATCTCTTGACATCATGATCTGCCCACCTCGGCCTCCCAAAATGCTGGGATTACAGGCGTGAGCCACCACACCCGGCCGGAATCTGAATTTTAAATGCTGGTGACTAATTTTTTTTGAGATGGAGTCTTGCTCTGTCAGCCAGGCTGGAGTGCAGTGGCTCCGTCTCTGCTCACTACAATCTCCGCCTCCTGGATGCAAGGGATCCTCCTGCCTCAGCCTCCCGAGTAGCTGGGATTACAGGCCAGCAGCATCATACCCAGCTACTTTTTGTATTTTTAGTAGAGGGGAGTTTCTCCATATTGGCCAGGCTGATCTTGAACTCCTGACCTCAGGTGATCCGCCCGCCTTGGCCTCCCAAAGTGTTGGGATTACAGGCGTGAACCGCTTCTCGCAGTCAGTTGAGGATTTATTGGACCAAGTAAGAAACAGCAGTCTGTAGTTTTCTTGTTTTCATTGATCTTTGTTGGTTTGCACAATACTCGCCTTATAACGTGAGCTGGAAAGTGTTTGCTCCTTTTTCTGTCTTCCAAAAGAGACTGTAAAATTGAAGTTAATTATTTTTTAAGTATTTCATAGAATTCTTTTTTTTTTTTTTTCTTTTGGAGATGGAGTCTTACTCTGTCGCCAGGCTGGAGTGCAGTGGCGCAATCTCAGCTCACTGCAACCTCCGCCTCCTGGGTTCAAGTGATTCTTCTGCCCCAGCCTCCCGAGTAGCTGGGACTACAGGTGCACGCCACCATGCCCAGCTAATTTTTGTGTTTTTAGTAGAGATAGGGTTTCACCCTGGCCAGGATGGTCTCGACCTCTTGACCTTGTGATCCACCTGCCTCGGCCTCCCAAAGTGCTGGGATTATAGGCGTGAACCTCTGCGCCCGGCCTTCAAAGAATTCTTTAATGAGATCATGGTCCGGGCAGAGTGGCAGACGCCTGTAATTCCAGCAGTTTGAGAGGCCGAGACAGACGGATCACTTGAGGTCAGGAGTATGATTGTGCCATTGTACTGTTGCCTGGACAACAGGGCGAGACTCTGTCTCCAAAAAAAAAAAAAAAATCTTTAGTGGTCATGGAGATCTGGAGATGTCTTTTGGGGGAGCCTTTATGAATTGAATTTCTTTGATGGTTATAGGACCGTCTGGGCTGTTTCATCGTGGTTGAGCTTAAGTACTTTCTGGGTTTTGGGGAATTAGCCGATTTCTCTGAGCATCAAGTCGTTTGTGTTTCTTTATTCTCTGATGCCCGAGGATCTAGTGAGATCCCTGTTTTTTTCTGATACTGGTAATTTATGTGTTTTCTGTTCATTTTTGTGAATCTTTGCCAATTTTATTACTAGGATCTTAGACCTTTCCCTGCTCATTTATTTGTACAGCAAGAATAAGACAGTTATTTTTATTTATTTTTTGGAGGCAGAGTCTCACTCTGTTCCCCAGGCTGGAGTGCAATGGCCCGACCTCAGCTCACTGCGACCTCTGGCTCCCGTGTTCCAGTGATCCTGACCTCAGGTGATCCGCCTGCCTCGGCCTCCCAAAGTGCTGGGCCTGTAGGCCTGAGCCATCGCACCCTGCATAAGACAGTTTTGTTTTGGTCAGGTTTTTTTTTTCTTCTTCTTTTTTTTTTTGATAGAGCCTTGCTCTGTGGCTCAGTCTGGCGTACAGTGACAAGTTCTAAGCTGACTATAGCCCGAACCTCCTGGGCTCAAGCAGTCCTCCCACCTCAGCCTCCCAAGTAGCTGGCTCCGTAGGTGTGCACCACCATGCCTAGCAATTTTTTTTTTTTTTTTTTTTTAGTGGCGATGGGAGTCTTTGTACGTTACCCAGATTGGTCTTGAACTTTGAAGTTCAAGTGATACTCCTGCCTCAGCCTCCCAAGGTGTGCTGGGATTATAAGTATGAGCCACTACACCCAGCCTCAGAATATGTTTCTTTTGGCCGGGTGTGGTGGCTCATGCTTGTAATCCCAGCACTTTGGGGGGCCGAGGTTGGTGTATCACTTTTTCAGAAGTTCGAGACCAGCTGGCTAACATGGTGAAACCCTATTTCTACTAAAAATACGAAAAAATAGGCCGTATTTTTGGTGGCTCACGCCTATAATCCCAGCACTTTGGGAGGCTGAGGCAGGTGGATCACGAGGTCAAGAGATCGAGACCATCCTGGTCAACATGGTGAAACCCTGTTGCTACTAAAAATACAAAAATTAGCTGGGCATGGTGGCATGTGTCTGTAGTCCCAGCTACTCGGGAGGCTGAGGCAGGAGAATTGCTTGAACCCAGGAGGTGGAGGTTGCGGTGAGCTGAGATCATGCCACTGCACTCCAGCCTGGGTAACAAGAGCAAAACTCCATCTCAAAAAAAAAAAACCCAAAAACCAAAAAACAAAAAAATTAGCTGGGTGTGGTGGCGGGCACCTGTAATCCCAGCTACTTGGGAGGCTGAAGCAGAATTGTTTGAACCCAGGAGGCTGAGGTTGCAGTGAGCCGAGATCATGACACTTCACCCAAGCCTGGGTGACAGAGAGAGGCTCAAAAAACAAAAAATCTTTCTTTTTTTGGAAATGGAGCCTTGCTGTCTCACCTAGACAGAGTTCGGTGGTGCAATCATAGCTCACTGCAGCCTTGAACTCCTGGGCCAAGGCCAGCCTCCTGCCTCAGCCTCCTTTTCCCTAACCCTTTATTTGTTGAGGAATTCCGGTCATTTGTCCCAGGGGGTGCAAATGGCTCTGTCCAGACTGTATCGATGTCCAGGAGGTGTCACTTGCTGCCGACGTCTGTGCTACCTGTGAGCTGGCGGGTCGATGTGTTCCCACACTGTCCCATGGCCACGAGCCACATGTGCCGGACTTGAAACGTGGCCAGGAGGACCCGGAATGTACTGTGAGCGTAAAATACACAGGGGCTTTCAGAGAGCTGGCACAGAAGAAGAATGTAAAGTAGCTCATTAATAACGTTTCATATTCATTCCCCGTTGAAATAATCTTTTGTCTACACTGGGTTACATGCGACATATTCCAATTACTTCCACCCATGTTTAACTCTCAAACGTGCTCATTAGAAAATTCAGAATTACACAGTGTGTGTTCACAGCTCAAATTCTGTTTCCTTCGGACGTTGCTGATGGAGATGTCAATTTATTGACCTCAGGGGATCAGTTTCACTCAGAGGAGTTCTTGTATTTTGAGGTAGGCCATTGGATCAAACGCTGCCTTTTTTTTTTTTTCCTTTTTGGTAAGACTGAATCTCCCTCTGTTGCCCAGGCTGGAGTACACTGGTGCCATCTGGGCTCACTTCAGCATCTGCCTCTCAGGTTCAAGTGATTCTCCTGCCTCAGCCTCCCAGGTAGCTGGGATTACAGGCGTGCACCACCATTCACGGCTAATTTTCGAATTTTTAGGAGAGAGGGTTTCACCGTGTTGGCCAGGCTGGTCTTAAACTCCTGACCTCAGGGGATCTGCCTCTCTCGGCCTCCCAAAGTGCTGGGATTACAGGCATGAGCCGCAGTGCCCAGCCAACCTTTATGAGTCTTGCTTGTCGGGTCGTGTTGAATCGGTGCTCCTCACCCAAAGGTTAAACTCATTCTCTCCAGCGCGGCCTGCAGTGATACTCTGGTTTCCATGTTTTCATCTTGCTTCTGATGCGTGCGGCTTTGATTGCTAGGGGGCGTAGCTGAGCTGATGCCCCAGGCCCCTGGAAGCCTCCCATGCAATGTCCTGAGGACATTGGTGTTCAAGCGCCCCAAGGGTAGGTGTAGAGGCCTCGGCAGGGTCAGGCAGCCGGAATGTTCCAGCGCCCTCGTTCCTTGCAGGGATGATTCTCTGAACGACTGTCGGATCATCTTTGTGGATGAAGTCTTCAAGATCGAGCGTCCTGGTGAAGGGAGTCCCATGGTCGACAACCCCATGAGACGTGAGTTATGAGCCCGCCTTTCCCCGTCTTCCGAGGTGGGCGCGGGGCGGGGGCTCCTGTCCCGTCTCTGGCTTGGCTGGGCCCCGCCGAAGCTGACGCTGCCGCCCCGTGCCCAGGGAAGAGCGGGCCGTCCTGTAAGTACTGCAAGGACGACGTGAACCGGCTCTGCCGGGTCTGCGCCTGCCACCTGTGCGGCGGCCGGCAGGACCCCGACAAGCAGCTCATGTGTGACGAGTGTGACATGGCCTTCCACATCTACTGCCTGCAGCCGCCCCTGAGCAGCGTTCCCAGCGAGGACGAGTGGTGAGTGCGGCCCTGCCCGGCATGAGGAGACCACATCACCTTCCACAGACCCCCAGACGGGCAGTGAGAAGACACAGAAGCAGGCCAGGGGCGGGCGGCGGGGCTCACACCTGCAATCCCAGTGCTTCGGGAGGCCGAGGCAGGAGGATCGCTGGAACCCAGGGGTTCAAGACCAGCCTGAGCAACATAGGGAGACCCTGTTTGTTTTCTTTTTTCTTTTTTTTTTTTTTTTTGGTAGAGTCTTGCTCTGTTGCCCAGGTTGGAATGCATTGGCGTGATCTCAGCCCACTGCAACCTCTGACTCCCAGGTTCAAGCGATTCTCTTGCCTCAGTCTCCCAGGTAGCTGG